CATCAACTGGAGGTCGAAATGATTCATGCTGATCACAGCACGCTACTGTTGAAGAATATGCTTCTGCAGTTCTGTCATACTAGATGCGAGAGTGAGCAAGAAGATGGGACAGATGAGAGTGACGATGACAGTTAAAACAGTAAACAAATCACAGTAAATAGTAACAAAGAAAGTGAAGAACACAGTAAATCACTGCCGTTGTGGAGAAGAGTTAGATCAAAGTTGTTGTTCAGATTCATTCATTAACAAATATTTGCGCTATCTTATACTCTTTCTCATTTAGATATATAGCAGTTACTGGGTCAGTGTGGCCTTGAGAATTAGTTTTTGTAAGTGGGTGCCCCCATTTGGAGAGGACTGGTTACCTAATAATTATTTTTGTATAAAATGAATGCCATTAACTCAGAAAGCAAAGCATTGTTATTGCAGGTTAATATTTCATTGAATATTGCAGTGTAGTTTTCAGTTTGATAAGAGATAATTTCAACTTTCCGTAGTTCGAAGCCACTGAACAGATTACAAAATGTACTTAAACTTGTTTGGAGAAAATGAGAAAATATGCCCCCCAAAATGAAGGAAAAAGCATTTCTGAGCATCTTAAATAAAAAATTTCCCGGGGGAGCATGCCCCCGGACCCCCTCTTACAGCTTGGGCCCTATGGCCCCAATTTACACGCCCAAAGGGCGTGTATATAAGGGTTACACCTGTAACTACCAAAGCAACGGCTGTACAAAATTCTACCGAGAACCCTGTAGGTGTCCTTACTTAGTGATTATTGACTGCTATTTTTCATGACATATAAATAAAGTTATCATCATCATCATTTGCTTACAAGCAGGCAAGACCACCACTTCTGTTCAAACAATTTGATTCATTCCATTTGCTTAAATCTTAAATGAGAATGTAAAAGTACACCTACGAAAAACCATTTTTCTATTATCTGAAATGTTGAGCAATTCATTACTTTCAAAATTGAACATAACTCTGCTCACCATCCACACAGCGCCATGCCCTACTCTTATCTGAGTGTGAGCTGCTTGTTGACATTTGCTGTTGGGGCAGAAGAATGTTGCTGTTGCATGGATGTCAACTGATGTACTTAGAGATCGGAGGAGGAGGAAAAAGAGGGTCAGTGCATTAGAAATCACCCAGGATTTAAGAGTTTGTTTGAACTGATGGGTGTTACAAGTTGCTGGTGCCAGTTCAAAAACAAGGTCTAAGAAGTCATATGTTACTGTGCTGACACTTGTAGGGAGAGCAGAGGCAGAACAAGCTTGATCCCTCTATTTTTGTAGGAAAGGGCATGTCAGCCAACATAAATAACAGATTTCAACTATTATGCAGTTCAGCCTATTTTGAGTTTGTCTTGGGTAGTTCCATACCCACTCTTACTGCTCTACAGTAGTGTGAAGTTGCTAAAAGATATTAGATTACCTCAAAGTCTGACAGGCTTGTAGTTAGGACTGAGTAAATTTTAATGTTCTTAGAAATTATTTGAAAGTAAAGTGGGATGGTGGGAGGGAGGGGGGTTAAAATCCAATCTATTTTAATTTTTTTCTTCACCATCCTTCACATGGTCCAAAGGTCATGACATTTAAGATAAAAGTAGAGGAAAGCAGTTTTTCTCATACAATTTCAGAAGATCAACCTGTCTGCACCTGTCTGCATTGGATGATACTGGACACAACATGGTTGAGAGATTCCACTACCTCTTTGATCCTTTTCTTATAGAGTTGTTAATATATGACATTATTTACTACCTGAATCAAGCTCAGCTAATCTCTAAATAATTTTGAGAAGGCACCTTTTGAAAGACTTTTTATAATAAGCTACTTTGCCATCCTTTAAGCTAGCTTCAATTACTTATTTTGATTACCTTTTTAATATTTATTTAAATTGTTAATGAAACAACCCATGGGAAAAGTATTATAAACATTGTGCCCTTACCAAAAACAATATGAACTGAAAGTGTTTACCAGATGAAAATAAATTTTACCCAATTGGACCAATCAGAGTGCTTCGTTTCCTTATGTTTCCTGCCAGGTAAAGTTTACCCAAGTGGAGTAACCTTTACCACTAGCAATTCATGAAGTAGAGCTCTTATGTGAGCAGCATGAAACGTCGATCATTTGACGCTTGATGTCTCTTACAGAAGGACTGACATCTTTAAGAATTCTTTTTTTGTTCGAATCTGTCGCCTGTGGAATACACTACCTCTTAGTATAAGAGAGTCAAATACCTTGTTGATCTTTCGTAAGAATTTGATGGCCTTTTATCATGATAAGTTTAATGTAGACTTTTTTAATTTTTACACTGTACTTTACTAAATCATTAGTCCATTTATAATAATTTTATTGATAAGCGTTCATGTCGCATGTCTTTTATAACTGACATGTTGCACAAACGACTTTCTAGATGATTTTGTTACTTAATTAATTCTGTAGACATAATAATAGGTGGCTTATTTTTAAGGAGTCTTGTATTCTGTTTTAAGCCTACCTCAGATTTTTCATTCTACTTGTAAATCTGAAACTTGATTAAAGTAAATGCATCAGAGTAGAATAATTGCATTCTCGCGATCTTGGGATGAAATAGGTGAATCCCACTATTAGGATGAAATAGGTGAATTTTGCAATTTTAGGTGAAATTGGTGCAAAACCGACCAGCATAGGAATAGGATGGCACACACATTTTGGATTAGTTGAGATTCAAGAAGTGACACAGCTTTATTTGCAAAGTCATGTTTGTTTTAGTGTTACATCAAACACTGTTGACACAAAGGCATTTTATTAAAGGGTATAAGATAACAAGCTTGCACACCAGCAAATCAGGCGTGTCATCTAATCCTGCAGCAATCCTAGTCAGTGACCTTGTTGGCAGCATCACTTACATGTTGGGATTGTTCATTGAGCTGCCATGACAATGTCCTCCATCACTTTCCTTTCCAAAATTCATTTTTCTTCACAAAATGAAAACAGCCAACATTTCAAATTTTAATGTAAGATGTGCAGGGTTTTGCTTGCCAAAAATGTTACATGTAATCTATGAACATCTTATTGCCATGTCAGTCATGCACCAAAGAAAACATTTGTGTTTTAACACATAGCTTTAAAGACAGAGGTGAACCCTCCTGATAACAAAAGGCTTATGACCTTGACTTCCTTGAGAACAGAAGTGAAAATGAGAACCCAAGTTAAAAGCCTTGATGAACAATTACCAAGAGTCAATCACTAGACCAATATTCAAACCTGCATCCACACATACTGAGGGTAAACACTTACAAATATTTTCCTTTTTTTTCGCGCACAAAAATTAACATGTTTTGCAAAGATGAAATGATTGATGGTATATACATCATTTATTTAATTAACCAGCGTCTAGTGTTTGTGATGGGAAGTGTAAAGCCCTCACAGGTGATATTTCTCAAATAGATTGAGTTAATAAATATAATCAATCATAGGGCTTCTACTTACAAGAAAAAGAACAGACTAAAAACAGAATGTTCTTTGGTATTACTGAAGTCAGTTTTATTTTGTTAAAAAAAGAGTAAATAAATCAAGGAAGAGGGAAGAACATGAGGTAAATCAAACCTCAATTACCTCATGCACTGGGGCCTTCCCTCTCACTGTTAAAGTATGTGCACCATGAGGAATGGCAATGATTCCAATGTTTGATTGCAGGCACCACACCAAGCCATTCCTTTGTAACTCAATGACCAAGGCATAATCTCCTGAACTTTGCAAAAGACTTGATGAGGAGTGTTGTTGTTGCACAATAACTCACTCGCGTCTTAAGCTGTTATAGTCATTGGTGATGTTCACCAATGTTCACCAATGTTTAAGCTTCTGTTTGACGTTCACCAATGTTCACCAGTGTTTTTTACTAAATATCGTTTACCTTTCTGTATGTTTAACTTCTAATAAGTTGTATTGGATTGAGGACCAACTCGCTGATGTCTCTACTCGATTTTATGCATCAGCGAGTTGGACCGTCGGCGAGTTGACCGTAATTCACTGAATGCTGTGTGAGAATCTTCCCTTAGAGATGCTCAAGTTTCCTGGAGATAGCCAAAATACAGCCCATGCAAACAACAACAAATGAGCAAAAGAAACCCCCCAAAGTAACAAGTCCAATGCAATAAAAGAGTTCCACCATTATCAAGAAGAAACCCAAAGGAATCAAGTGGCCATCTATCAAAGATAGGAAAATCTCTAATCATAATCTATATTCCATCAGATTGAAAATGGAAATAATGATATCCAGAAAGATATACACTGTGCTCCTTTATCTCATTCAAATTGAAACCAGCACACAATAAGTTCTTTTCCATAGTCAATTAAGCAGTGGAATGACCTTTCAGCTAGTACTGTTGACATAGATGATAATTCCAAATTATTAAGCGCTCTGCATAAACAGTGAAATAGGAGGGCAATTTTAGTTTCTTCATTTATTTACAAATATCTATATAATTATTTAAATTGTTTATTTGATTTGTATAATTCTTATTTATTTCATTTATAGACTGTACTATTTGTTGTATGTATATATATTTTATCTTAATTGGTGTGATGCTTGTACAACTTTCTTGGTCAATGTAGAGGCATCCATAACATGAAATATGATTAACACTGTGTGTTTAATACTGTTAATGAACAAAATTCCTCATGCTGAACCATTTCATCTTGTCAAATCTTCACTGTCATTTCACAGACCTTTCAATGAATCATCATTGTTGTTTAACAAAAAAGATGGTACCGTTTGCTATCAACAGTAAGTTTTCATTTAAAATACAATCTGGATTAAAAATACTTTAACACAGACTAATTGTGATGTGAGAAGGCACTTTCAGCAAGTGCTTACCAATTGTGGATGTGACATTGAGTTAGCATTTGATGAATGTTCTGAGCTGAAGTTGTTTGTAAAAAGAAACCCTAATTTTAGAGCTCTACACCCACTTAATCTGTGGCAGAAAGATTGTGAAAGGAACTTGAAGGTAGTCCATTTACCATCCATGTATCCTTTGGCAAGTGCTGCTTGTGATCTAGGATGTTCTACATTGAAGAGAACGTAGTCAGACTGCTGTTGTGCTTTGGGTACTAATACCATGGACATGCTGATGAGTGAAAATTTACGGCCCACTAAAACAGGCAGGTTATCACCACAGAGCTGGGGAAGGTAAAAAAAACTTGCTGTTGACACCAATGTTGCAGTCATCAACCATGAGTTTATGTTTCCTCCAATTACCAATCTCCAATGGTCAAACAATTCTACCAGAATTTTCTTGCGCCTACATGATGACATACTTTGTTACAAAGAGGCTTCGTGATGGGCAAATTACTGGTGACTCTCAAGACTTAAGTCTCTAAAGGAATTTATCTTTAGAATTTAATGAAAAAGCATCCCTCTGCCTACAGAAATGACATAAAAAAACTGCTTTGTTGAATCAAAGCTTAAGGCGAGGAGAAAGAATTCAGTTCATCTAGTTCACATGAACATTGTCAACAATTTGACTATCAACACAAATGACAAGAAGAAGTAAAACACTGACAACAAAATGAAACTAAATGATGGAATGGTGACATGGCCGATTATTTCCATGGAACCCAGAATGTTGCACACTGAGTAAGTTTCAAGCTTTAAGCCTTGTAAAATTAAACCTGGTTAGTGAAGCAACTTAAGCATTTGCAAATAGAACCCAGAGAACTGCAAAATTTGACCAGCTCCCGTGTATCAAATGTAATGTTTAGCTGTTCATTACTATTTTACTTCAAGATAATGACTACTGTCACAAGCCATCAGCACCTCCCAAAGCTGATAGATGAGATGCCTCCTGGATGTGCCAAGGATTTGGTTTTCCAATTATGTGGGCGCAGTGACAGGTTAGCATCTCATCATGCAATAAATATGTGAGTCCTGGGCAGTATTTTCTTTACTAACAAACATGTTTAAAAGAATAGTGTATGACCCCCGTTATTGAAGCTTTTGCAACACAGATTCATATTGGCAGTAATTTTTCCACTAGGACTAACAGAACACCACTAAAAGATGACTTCTATGCAGTTGGTGCACTGAAGAAAGGTAAATCTACCAATGCTGACCATGAAGATGACCTTCTCTTATTTCTTGGTGTTGAATCAATTTCTGATGTCACATTTTTCTCAAGGCTCCAAATTGGAGAAGGAGTGTTCCACTCCAGAGCATACAAGAGAGTTTCCAGAAGAAACAATTACACCATTGGTTACCAGCAAGGCGACAGTATATGTTATGGGTATATTGAAGCATTCTTTTCAGTCAGAAATAATCCAAGAGAGGCTTGTGGGGCTTTCATTGTTCCTATGTCGATGTCTGGTCAGCATGTATGCAGAAGCCATGAAGTTCTGGGAAGCCCAATAAGCTACATTGTGTCTCCACAAGCCAAACAATAACTGGTTCACAGTTGTCCCTCTCAAAGACATTATCGACATGTGTGTTTATATCAAGTTTTCAGACTGTGATGTGAGTTATGCAGCACATTTCTCAAACCATAATGAAAAAGACTAAAATTTATTCTTGGCTTTCCCGTAACCCCAAGTGTAGTAAACCTAAATTCACCTTGACTATGATACCAAAAACTGATCAACAAAGACAGATTTTTTTCTTGACGTTTTAACACCTTCATAGTTGTTTCTATTTCTTCATTATTATGATTGAACACAGGTGAAGAGAGGGGGTAAGTTTCTAAAGAAACTGTAGTGCTGTGTTGGTGGGAGAGTATAGCAGGTAATTTAGTGTCTCTTAGACGTAACTGCAAGTTTCATCAAAGTTCATGGAAGTTCAACTTGAAAATGCAACAGGAATCTTCCGCTTGATTGCTCAATATTTTAGTAAGTTATAAGTGCCAATGCATAATTTTTGACTCAAAAGCCATTTTTGTTATGCATGGGGTTTTTAAGAGTTAAGCTGTGAGTAGGTTCAAGAGCTTTAAGTGAGATCAAAACATATAGCATGTACACTGTGCGAACATATACCTTAGATTGATAGACTAATCATTTCAGTCTATTTTTGGCCATATGTAAGCCACAGAGTGTAAAGTAAAACAATTAATTGATTTGCATAAATCATTACATAACAGAATATGATGTAAAGATAAAGAAATTACAACAAAGTCATGAAGCTTGTCACAGGGTGCAATAACCAACAGTTAACTATGTTTTGCATTGTGATTACCTAAAAGAAATCTACATGTATTCAAGAGTTCATTATTAGAGACTAACAAACATGAATTGCTCACTAATAAAAAAATTCTTTTTAAACAAGACACTTGTCTTACATGCTTGGTTCTTTGAAATGATGTAGGCATCTTCAACCCAATCAGTGGCTTGTTGATTCATATCTCTACAAAAGTTTTGCTTTGGTCTCACAGTTTTCTATGAGAGCATCATATGGAAACTCTATGGGAAAAATTTCACTGAGGGTCTTTGGCCCCATAGAATTCCACATAAATAAATCATATGGAAACTCTACAGGAGTCAATTTCTTTTAGAGCTTTTATAAACTCGTACAGATTGAATTTTATAAAATAACAATTGGGGAGTCTATGGGACTTGAAAAAATTATATTAGCTGATATGGCAAATCTATGAAATATTGAACAGTGGACATCCCGTATCATTCCCATAGAAGACATAGAGCAAGCAAATGTGTCACTGCTATGGGATTTATATGGAAATTGTGTTCCCATAGCTTTCCCATGCAATGGATAGCATCAGCTTTTCTTCCCATAAATTTTCCATACATTAAAATGTGGAAAAATTGAGCCCCATATCAGTTCCATATCTTCACCCAACCTCCCCATACCATTCCCAGATATGGGTCATATATGGCCCATGTTTTGCCATATCATTCCCATACTTTTTCTTTGGTAAGGGTACACCTCCAAAACGTCGAAACGGCATCGAGAAACGACGAAACAGAGAAACGCAACAACACAGTGATATAACGAAACAACGAGTCGAAAATTTTGCCCACAATTTCACTTCGAAACCAAAGGCACCATTTTCTATCGAGGAGTCGAGCGTTTTTATCTCCTCTAGCGTCTATCGTGAAACGATAGACGTGGAACTTCTGACAGCTCTTCGCTTGATCCTGATAATTTATAGAGTAAACGACAAAATAAGCAGAGAAACTCGGACGTTCCAGTATTCAGTGCCATTTCAGCAATATCTTCTAGTGTAAAGATATGATAGCCCCTACTAAAAAGTAGATAAAAGCTCAAAGCAATACCTATTAGCGTTGTTTCTCCGAGGTTGAATGCTCTGAAGTCGTCGCACGTGTTAACTGCTCAGATTTGGAAGGAAAGCGGAGAGACCTGTAAAACCAAACATCAAAATTAAAAAGGCAACGAGCACTTTGTTCGAGAAACGACTAAAATTCCCTGAACTACCTCAAACTGACGAGGTTATAAGAATTAAAACTACACATACCATAAGAGAGAGGTCCATCTCTTAGCTGCGATATCCGATAACTGATAATTCCCGCATTAAAAATGTCGGTCAGCATTAAATTCCATCCACCAAAACCACCTTGGTCGAGAGGGACTGAGATGGAATGATGGACAACTCATGACTTGTTATACTAAATGAAAATTACTAAGCTACGACAACATGCCGACTTATCCCGATGACCTAAGTGTATCATTTGTTTGGGAAATTGCGTCAAAACTTTTCACTCAAGAAATGGTAAGTATTAATTTATTGTTCGATTGTAGTATTATAAAACATTTTACGCAATTTTATGCAGATATTTCACGTATTTAAAAGGTGCCCAGATGTTACGTAGTTTTTGTGGATGTCATTAGGGAACATCCACCAAAACTTTGACCAAAACCATCAACAATATATTTTTTAAATTTTATCTACAGCCACTGTTAGATGTTCAGGGAGACAAAAGATTTATGCCACTAATTAGCAGTTAGTGCTCTGGCTAATTATTTTTTATGGTGCACAATTGCTGACCGACCAAACGTTCATAATGATTATCATAACTCTTAACACATAGAATAAAGTGGTTTTGGTGGATGTTTCTCTCCATCCACCAAAACCACCATAGCAATTTCTGCTACTTCCTTACAGAAGACTGATGTGACCTGCTATTTGGAGTACATAACCACAATCTATTTCTTTGTATGTAGAGATATTTTGAAAAGTTCTTGAGTCAGCACCTTTTATTATTGAAACCATAATCATAACATGGTGCACAATATAGAATACAAAAGGTTCTGGTGTGGTAATCATGTAATCTTGAAACAGGAGAGTTTTTAACTGACTTAAACTGATTTAAACAGACATTTGCAACAAAATTCCAGGTCCAGAAATTTCTTCCACTATTTCTGCTAAAATCATAACCTTTAAGTACAACAAATCAGCACATTAGTAATTGTTATCAGGGGTCTGAAAATTCTATAAATCTTTCACATTTATTTCAAGTAACCTCGGATGAATAAGTATACGCTCAAGATGCAGAATGTCTTACATTTTACAAACTATTTCCCTTTTTATGGATAGACAGTGAAAGGCCTTTGCCACATTGGTGAATCAAACCATTGTATACCATGCATTTTGTGATAATTGTTTGTTTTTGCTCACAATATCCAGAAAAATGGAGGGGATAAATTTAAATAGCAAATTCTATTAATGGTTAAAATTAAATAACATTGGAAGATCAAATTAACATTGTACTGTTTAAAATTCAGTTTTGGTTTCTTGCTTATTCCAGTCTCTTAATATTCAAAAGCATTCCTTGTCATTTTTGTTATTTGTCATTATTTATTATTTGTCATTTGTGTTCTTCTGTGTACATAACGTGAAAAATAAACACAGAGAAAGGAAACCACAAAGGATTAAACTTGAAGCTAAAGCAAAGTTTAAGTTGAGCCATAGCTGATCCAAATACTGAGCACTTTGTATTGTAACCCATTTGGCAGTAAAGTTTATCTATATGTCTGCCAGCTTGTCACAAGTCTTACCCCTCTCCTTCAAAAGTCTCTATAAATAAATTTTTCTTTGTGGTCCCTAATTAATGATAAGTATATTACAGCTCCTCAATTTTCCTCTCTCAAGACAAGGTTACTCTAAATTTAACAAAGTAATGGACTTGATAAAACTCAAACTATAACTCAGCTGGCTGCTACTTGCAACCTTAATTTCTAGATATCAGTATACAATAATCAATATGTTATAAATAAAAACCCTAATGCTTAATTTTGCAGTGATCACCTTCCTCCTTTTTATTTGCAGACCAGACTGGAACCTCTATAGGTGTGTTTGCTTGTTTTGAGTGGGGATGTCAGGAGTCATGCCGCATATCTGATTTATTAAATCGCATTTGTTCTGTTTATACATGAGTAGAACTACCTTGTTCTCTGAAAAAAATAAAATTTCTCGCATTTTTATCTGTGCTTTGAAAGAAATCTTACTTCCTTGAAAACAAAATCTTTGTTTCCAGCCTTCTGTAATAGGTAAATATAACAGTGTAAGATGAGTGACAGTGTATTTCTCAAGTTATTTTTTGGAATGTGACAAAACGGAAGTGTCATGGCGTGATAAGGAGCAAACATATGATTGCTTGATAGAAAGCAAAAAATGCAGAATTGCATATATTTTCTCCTTTGTCAGCAGCATATGTTAGTGAAAAGTTCTTATAATTGTTAACTTCTAAATCATCTTCAATTTAGCCAAGATTGAACAATTATCACGTTTGTCATAAAAGTATTCTGAGATCAATGTCATATGACCCATTCAAGTATTTGACCTTTCGAATTAGCAAGCCATAGTTGACAGAAACACAAAGGTTGAGGATAAAAAGAAATTATAATATACAGTACTTCTTCTGCATCTTTTCGTTTCCTTTTCTCTCCAGCTGTTCTATCTATGCCGTGCTGGCAATTGAACACTTTCCTTCCCAAAATTAGGAAAGGCACACCAGTAAAAAACGAATTTTTGCTCCTTAAATATCTCATGCATCTTCCCCCAGTATTTTGTGACTTCTGTCCGAGGAAGGAGGTGCAAGCATTAAATTAACCCGAATGATTCCACAATTGTGGTATCATCCTAGCCATGCCAGAGGACTTGAACTAGATAAACTAGTGAGAATGCACAATAGCGACAGCAAAGCTTTGTAATGCTAAAGAGCTATATCAATATATATATGTGTTCCCGAAACCTTTGACAGCTTTAAAGAAAGAAAACTTCGTCGTCAATCCTGTTTCAAATTCCGCAATAAGTTTATGCGCCTCATCAACAGAATTTACGTATCCTAAATTATCTGCATGTCTACCATCAATAGTTCGCGACTTAAAATTCTCGCAATACAATACAATACAATACAATACAATACAACAACTTTTATTTCAACACGATGGTGATTAAAGCGTTGCCGCTTATGGGGTCGTGCATTTAAACTAAAACCTAAGGAATACAAATATATTAAAATCGTCTCAATAATATAGAAAATCGTTGTCATTATTGTGAGGCATTGTTTGCGGAGATTCCGCCTGAAAGTCTAAGTTACGTAATTTGTTCGATTTGGAGGCCATTCTTGTGTAGTTCTTGACATTGCATGACGAGCTTTGCTCAAGAAAAGAATTCTCACCAGGGATGCGTAAAATGATCCATAGGCTTGTCAAAGTAAAGCGAGAGGGCTCAATTAGCAAGTGAAAGCGAGGTGTTTGGCTTCGAGCGTGAAATTAATTGAAGTTAACAATTAAAATGTAAACAGGCGCGAGGATCCGCGCGGCTTGCGCGTTAGGAGTACTACGTAAATTTAGGACTCTTTTGCACAATTTTCTCTTTGGAGATAACTACGCATTCTTGGCGTGAATGGCAATTTTCATAATTGTAGAATGATTCAGCGACAAGAACGGCTTAGCTAAGCCGTAGTGTGTCATGGCATTTGAAGATAGCCTGGTTGTAGCGCGTGACATGACTATCAAGTAACAGTTATTGTACCCAGCATGTTTTGTTCGTGATCTACAGGTTTATTGGTTTGTGACGCAAAGAGCGATTATCTGTTCTGTCACGACAATACCAAAATTAAATTGTGTTAGCCAACTTATATTTCACTCTGATCAGACCTTTGACCCTAAGTCAACATAGAAGCCGGTGAGCCGCTCGGTAAGGACCTTGTTTTCAAGAAAGATTTCGACTGCAGTATGTTCTGGAGATACAAGAGTATCATTTAACACTTGAAACGATTGGGTAGATATTTTGATAATAATTTTCTGGCGTCCATACTGAGGAGCTCTTTCAGTATAAAATATCATTTTAGTAAGTCCCAATCATCAGGTAAGCGCGGGAACTTGTCCCGCGAAAATTCTATGCGAAGGTACGAGTATATTCGGCGGTATCTGCGAAAAGGGGCCATCGTTCTTTCCTTAAGGTAAGGTCTTAACTGTGTAAAACTTCGCGAGGAAGAAATTCTACTCGCTGGCCTGTCCAATTTGGCTTTTAGACAAGGTTGTAAGCCTGATAATTTCTGTCTAGAGCTATATGATGACGCGCGATAAATCTCGCTGCTTAATAACCTTTGAGCGGAAAATGATGATGCCCAAACCATTTAATCAGCAAAGCAAGGTTTACCTTTACTTCTGTGCTTTCGAAGCAAGAGAAGGAATTATTTCTGTGATAGTCAGGTGACAGATGCTTAAAATCACATAGTGTATTATCCAACTGTTGAAACCTAATTATGGAATGAACCCTGACATCACAGCTCAAATATTCCTTCCCTATAAGATGACGCGCTCTTGGCAGGTTAGTGTGTTTTCTTACTAATCGTACTGTACTATTTCGCAGTTTCGAAAGCAGAATCCTGAAGATACTCTCGTTCTTTTGTTATTTCTTACCCACTCTCTCGTGTAATCAGACTTATCTCCGTGAGGGAAGAACCTTCATTTTTTAATTTTTTTCCCGGTTTTGTCATTCGTATGTGAGCTGTTCTTATCTGAAGGCAGAACCTTTCCCTTTTTTTCACCCGGTTCTGTCTCTCTTGGGTAGTCAGTCCTGTTTGGGCTGTTGTTATCTGAAGGCAGAACCTTTCCCTTTTTTTCACCCGGTTCTGTCTCTCTTGGGTAGTCAGTCCTGTTTGGGCTGTTGTTATCTGAAGGCAGAACCTTTCCCTTTTTTTCACCTGGTTCTGTCTCTCTTGGGTAGTCAGTCCTGTTTGGGCTGTTGTTATCTGAAGGCAGAACCTTTCCTTTTTTTCACCTGGTTCTGTCTCTCTTGGGTAGTCAGTCCTGTTTGGGCTGTTGTTATCTGAAGGCAGAACCTTTCCTTTTTTTCACCTGGTTCTGTCTCTCTTGGGTAGTCAGTCCTATTTGGGCTGTTGTTATCTGAAGGCAGAACCTTTCCCTTTTTTTCACCTGGTTCTGTCTCTCTTGGGTAGTCAGTCCTATTTGGGCTGTTGTTATCTGAAGGCAGAACCTTTTCTTTTTTTTTCACCTGGTTCTGTCTCTCTTGGGTAGTCAGTCCTATTTGGGCTGTTGTTATGTGAAGGCA